ATAAAAGAAATCGAATTCGTACGTGGTTGAAATATCGATACCTTTTTTTTCTTTATATTTCTTTTTGAAATATAGAACTGAATATTCACGGTGTCGTTACGTAATCCTTTTTTTTCTCTATTTTTATCTCATCAGAATAAATAAAACTCTTCTTTCTGTTATTTACAATTTTTCGTTCGTTTTCTTTGTGATCATTAAAAGTAAGATATCCGATCAGATATATATTATGTAGAACCATTTCTTATCATTATTCGTCTTTTTGCGTCGTTTCAAGTTTCCTATTGTTCGTTCAATAAAGAAAATTGTTTACTAAGAGAAAATATTCTGATCTTGTTTCATATTTTTTTTATTTTTCAATCAATTAATTCGTTTGTTTGTAATAATAATCGACAGTTAGAAAATAAAATCGATTTGATTTGAATTCGATGAAATATTTGATGGATTATTATAATCGAACGAATTAAATTGATAAAATTGTTTATTCTTCTTGAAGATGCACAGCAATTTAATAATATGAAGTAATTATGAAAATCGTTAAAATTCCTAATATGATTCATACCCGTGAGTAATTTAAACTAAACGTCAAGTCAAGTGAAATATCGTTCAAATCGTTTAACGTCACTCAAGCTTGTTTAGTTCGTTTTCATTTTTTGTATTTTATTTATATTCTTTTACGGTATCAATTCATACAAGTTATTAAATTTAAAAATTTTAATAAAAAATCCGAAAAAAATTTCGAAATATATTTTTATTAAATTAACAATATAATGTGATATATTACATATTTATTTTTAGGACACTATTTAACATTTATATACAAATACAATATATTTCAAAAATTGTTTGTATTAATAAAAAACAAAATAAAAGAAAAAATAAATATTACTTTAGCAATAGTGTTTTAAAAATATAAATCTACGAGTGGTTGCAAAATACACAACACAAGTCGCTCACACAATGTTGATATACAGTGGGTGTAAAAAGTATTCGTACACCGATCAATTTGAAATAAAATGTTGTGAAATTGTAGTTTATTAACTAATTTTTTATAAACATTGAATTTGTATATATTCTTGAAATTTCAACAATAGATATAATGAAATAAAAAATAATTTCTTTGAATAAATTAGTTCGATAAAGCAATTTTAGTCATAGTTTTTATTATTATTGTATACCATATAAAATAATAATTTACAAAAAAAAAAGAAAAAAAAAATTCTTAATTATTTTGGACTCGTGTAGAAAGGTAAAAGATGAAAAGACAGAATAAAGAAAAGATTGATAGATGAACTTGTAGAAAAGGTTGGATTCTATGTACTAGAAACATATACATTTTGTTCAATCTTGGCCTTTAGTTGACGAGGTGACCCAGTTGGGAATGTTAATACTCTCTTTCTCACTCTCTCCCTCTTTCATTTTCTTTTTCTTTCATATAGATGCATACTTGCAACTGTATATACCTCTCCCCTTCTCTCTTTCTCCCTACTTCTCTTTTCCGTAGGAGTTAGAGGTGTGTCATATTGATCGAGGAAATTAACTATTACGACAACCACTTGCTACCGGGTCGAATATGAAAGAAAAAGTATTCAGCGTGAAGTCACATGGTTGAAGTACACGCTAGAAGAAGAAGGGCGTCAGATAGGAAAATAGTTCAAGATTTTACTCGATTAAAGGGAAATAGAAAATTTATCGTTATCCGAACGACTTTTCTCGTTTATTAGATATATTTTCTTTAAGATATTTAGTTTGTCAAAATCTTTATATTTATACATTTAAAATCTTCGTAAACGTGTACATGAAAATTTAAGTAAGACAAGTTCGTACAATTTAATATATTAATTATTTATATCACGTAATTTAATTATAAGCAATGTTATTATTTATCTTTTTCTATCCTTCTTCTGATTCTTTTTTCTTTATTTTATCTTTAATAATAATTGAAGTGAATAATACTCGAGGAAGTATAATAGTTACTTTAACGACTTTACACAGTAAGATAAATATTGACGCGAGTTTGAGTTTCTAGGATTATGGAAGTCTATGTTTTTGAAAGATCCTCGTTAAGATTCATCAAGAAACGATGTAGAAACATTAAACATAGATAACATATGATTATTTTTGTCGCAATTATTATTAATATTGATTCTCATATATATATGTTTAGCATCAATATATATGTTATATATATGTTTAGCATCAAACCTTTACGTCCCACGTTACTACGCTTTTGTTTCTACGAAATGAGAAATCTACCAATTATGAACGTCAAACTAAATAACAGGGAGAAGATACACCACGTTCCCTGATAATTCCAAACTTATAGCCAATTAGCGAGAACAGACTAATTAATTAATCAACGAATTATGGATGTTATGGCAGGTTCAATATTGAAATCTGATTTACATACTATAGAAAATGATATGACGGTTGATAATAATACGCATACTTGTTTCATCTTTTTTATTTTTTTCTTATTTCTCTCTCTTCCATAACCTTTGACTTTTCAAGAATTTTTCCCGTGATCTGAATAGACAAATATGTAGGTTAAAATTATAGCACATGATTGCACAAGGAATATTTACTTTAATTAAATAAATTAATTTTTATTTATAAAACAAACTATAGAATACTATGGAAATGTTTCTATTTTTAACATTTATATAATAAGTAAAGATTCACTACGTAATATCTCGGTATTGCAATCGCGTATTATACAATTTGTAATTATTTCTTATTTTTTTTTTCCTCATATCTTATTTACCTTGCGTAAAATATAAGATTTGAGAAACGGATAAATAGATGTAATAATATATTTCATTTTCCGTTTTTCTTTTGTGTGCATAAATAATCAATAACACTTGAATACAATATTCTTAGAACAAACAACTTACGTTGTTTTTGCACATGGTCATAGTATTTAATCGAATAACAACTTGTCAGCATTGTAATATCGCGTTAAACTTTCTCGAGGTCATAGTTTCGTTTTTTAAGAATATCTGATTGCATTTGTAAAAATTTCAAAATGCATTAATGTAAATATTCTTTTTGTTTTTCTTTCTATTTTTTTTTTTTTTTTTTTTTTTAGGAAACGTGCTTTTTCTTGAATTTCGCTGTTTGAATAATTTTTCGAATAAGTTTTCGAGATAATGCATTTCCTCGGAATGGAGAAAAATTTATCTGTATAACTGTAGAAAAAAATAGGCAAAGAAAAAGAAAAGTATAAGAAAGCAGAGAGATGTTAAAAACGAAAAATCAAAAAAAGATACGCGGCAGAAAAAGGAAACGAAAATTCGAGAAGAAGTAAAATAAAATTTTATTTCCATCCCGAAAATAGTATAGTAAAATTATATCCATTCCCATCTCGCCATTTTGCGATTCATTCCCACGCAAATAACGGAAAAGTCATGCTGCGGATTGCAAGTAGTAAACGAAGAATGACGACGAAGAAGACGAGAACGACGATGAGAAACTCGACTTGTTTAGAATAATAACGTGATCCATCCGGTTCTGGTCCCTTTAAGGCATCAATTTGGTATGCTGATGTTTAATTTAACTTGAAACTTCTGCGTTTCATTTTGATAAAACGTAAATTTTCTTTACCACTCTTAATACGTTCAATTTATGAATGAAATTTGTATTTTACACTAATGTAACACATAAGCCACACGCGTTTATCTTTAACGATTTTAATTTATAATCTTTGAAAGACGTTTATTTTAATAATCGTACGAACAAAATAAATTAGTGGATACGTAAATACGTGTTTCTTCTCACTTCTAACGATAATAATTATATACACTTTGATTCGATCATTTGATTCAATCCAAATAGATATTTGGAATTTTACAAATCCGTGACATTTACATTTTCGTAGAAATGATAAAAGTCGGGAGAAAAATAAAATGAAAGAACGTTCATTAGATAATTAAAATTTTTCGCTTGTAATAAAAAGTCTGTAAAACAATTAGACGCGTTGGATGTTTCTCCAATGATTGTTACTGGAATAAAAGCAATTGGGGATGATGATCAAAGTGTGATTTAAGAAGTTAAAAAAAAAGATAGGTGATAAAGAAGATGCTTAAACTTGAATCTAAAAGAACATAAAGGATTACAATCTTCTTTGTCGTATCGATGACATTGCAAATATCACACTTTGAAGTATGTAATTCAACTCGAAATGCAGTAAATGTTAAAGAAAAAAGGCATTATGACGTTAGTGTATTGAATTACTCTGAAACATTTCAAGAATTTTACTTTTATGCGTTTCCGCGGGAATACTTTCGAGTTATATCGTCAGAAAGAGAAACGTGCATTCATCATAATTGTTCATCCTTTTGTCCATAGATGTCGACACTCCTTCGTTTAATCTCTTTCTCGCTTGAGTATATATACGTATGTTATATATATATGTTGTATATAAATACTACATACTTGCACAGAGCACAACGATACGATTTTTTTTTAATTTTTAAATGTATTTATATTAAAAATGTAAAATGATGTGACACAATTTGACAGATCGTTCATTCGTTATTGCAATAAATAATATTTTAATAAAAACGAACGACATCACGCAAAATTATTTCCTCCTTGTCGCGATTTGTAAAGATATATATGGATATATGAATTAAAGAAGAATAAAAAAGAGAAATGAACATAAATAAAAGAAAAATTACAAACTCTGACGCATGTTTGCATCCCATAAATACAATTTTCTTTTCTATTATAATGATAAAAAAGAAATATATGTATATATAAGGAAAAAAAAGAAATATAATTAAACAAAGAGACTAGGTCATGCTTGCATGTGTTTTATTCATAGATTGTATCCTTTTTTATTAAAAAAAAAAAAAAGGAAATATAATATATTTCCAATTAGACAAAAATTTTGATAAACGATTGACAATACGCCGCGTTAGCGATGTCATTCGAAAGGAACATTTGTTATACTATATTTTTTAAACAATGTGGAAATTGAAAATTTGTTTTTCATTTTACAGTCATGGCGAGGATCTCATTGTTACACCGTTTGCGCAAATACTCGCTTCTCTTCGTGCGGTTCGGACCAATTTCTTATCACTCACGAATGTCCCACCGAACAGGTGAGTAAATCTTGTTTTTGTTTTTTATCATTGATTATTAAATCAATAGATTATATAATTACCCATTTTATTGACTCGTTTAATTAACATACAAATAATAATTTATTTTCATAGATCACGAAGGAGTAGTGGGGCGCAGGGTAGCAGTACGCCACAGCCACGAATCCTTGCACCCGGTGGTAATTATCAATTTAATATTCTATAACGAGTTTTTACAAAAATCTAGAAAAACGAGACAGAGATGTGTTTTTTTTTCTTTTTGTATTTCTGAAATTTACAAATGATTTCTCACGTTTCGCGTATCTACATATTATTTAAAAAAAAAAAAAAAAGAAGAAAAAAAAACATATTTTATGTCATGAAAGATTGGATAGGTGTTTTTTTTTTTTTTTACAATTTCATGTAAATTATATTTACAAAGTAAACTGAAGAAATATATAATAGTATGTATTATTAACTCAGAAGGATAGGTATATGACATTTTCTATATTTTATTTTCTCTTTAAAGCGAGCCGTTTTTTTCTCACTCTCTCTTTTTCTTTCTGTGATTTTTAAGCTAATCAGTTGAATTTATTAACAAAATTTTGTTTTATACTCTCTTTCTCTCTCTATGTCGATTTTAATTATTAACAGAATTTTGTTCATAATTTATAATTTTTCTAATTTAAACCAACGTATATTATTAATTCTTTTTCAATTTAACTTGTTCGTAGTTTGGTTACAATCGAGTTATGGTTTCATTTATCAAATTGAATTTCATTTCACTTTATTAAATCTCATTTTATATTTATATACTCGTACACTGCATGTACTTTGAATTGAACAAGATTAAATAATATTCGATTGTAACCTCAACCTTTTGTAGCCCATAATGAAACATAATAACTTCATTATTTTCTCTTTCCTATTTGAACATTTTAGAAGAGACCTATATAAAATTGGCCGTGGAAACGATGGAAGAATTGGATTGGTGTTTGGACCAACTGGAAACTATTCAGACTCATCGATCCGTATCCGATATGGCCTCCCTTAAGGTACGTACTTATGTTCCAAGGATTTTAGGATTATTTTCTTTTTTGAACACACACACACACATACACAATTATGTATCTTATATAATCGAAAAATTCGGATAAATATTATGAAAAGGTAATCAATGTCTATGAAAAATCAAAAATTCATAAAAAGGATAAAATAATGACAGGCATAAATTTCATATATTTAGCAGATTTAATTTTATATGTAAATGATTATGCTGATATTATGTAAATCTAAGCCATTTTTAAATATTAAAGGATGTATATTAGTTTTATTTTGTATTACATATATTTGTAAATCAATCTTTCACTTTTATCTACTATACAAGAATAATAATTTATATCCTATTGTGCGATATAAATGTGACATTACTTGCTTGTTAAGATTTTTATAGGATTTCTTGATATCTTTCATCAAGGATAAACTTAAGAGGTAATCTCTGAATTATCTGGTAATAACGATAGTTTATTTTAGTGTCCTCCAACCAGTAGTTATTTCCGGATATTCCCTTAATGAACTTTTATCAACAAGAGTGAAACAAAAATGGGTTTTTACTATAATGACGTAAATAGTAAAATATGGCGAAGAATACAAGATAAATAAAGAAATATAAATAAAGCTCTATATAAAGTTTAACAATAATATCTAACAAAATTACGATAATGGATTCTTCATACATAGAGAAAAATAAATAGGTTATATCAACATAGATTCGTAAATGCTCAATTTTCAAGTTATAAAACTTTTAAGTATGATCTTGTTATTGAAGTTAAACCGCATATTTTTGTTGCTATCTATATATTGCTATAATAAATATAGTTTTTTTACTTTTTTCTTAATTCTCTTGAGACGGTGCTTGTTCAAAAAAACTTGATTATTTAAAAACAAAAACAAAAACAAAAAATAAAAAGTTTAAATGGTTTCTAATTAAAATAAACTAAAATATGTAAACTTCTTGTTTCGGCCACTTTTTCTTTATTTTTCTCTCTTTTATTAAAATGCAAAGAAAAGGGTAGATTTTAATTAAAAATCCTCAAAGAAGAAAATTTAGTTAAATGAACGAAATCATAAGAATAAAGTATCAAGTATTATATAATAAATATAAATCGATATATATATAATAACTTTATATATAAATATATATATAAATAAACGACGAGGATGAGAAATTTTTATTTGGCATTTTTGTTTAAGTATGATGATATTCTTAATTTGATATTACGATTACGATAAAAATTGATCGTTCAATATTTTTCAACTTTTATTTCGTTCAACGTTAATATACTACTCATTATTTCTCGAGAGGAATACGAGCTTTCTTTTTCTTTCTTTTCCTTGTCAGAGTATTGAAATTTCTTAGCTATTTGCAGAAAAAGCTCAACGCTGATACCGGAATAACATCTACTTTATTTGCGTTATCATTTTTTCTTTGACATTTTTTCCCCATGTTCTGGTTGTCGTCTAGTATGTACATCATTAAAAAATTTGAAACAAAAATGAAGGGAATATATGATATCCTGTTCAAATTAACATAGAACATGTATTGCTGACAGTATCTAGTCATTATAAATTTTTTACATTATAAAAAAAACATTCACATTCTATTGTCTTTCGGGTAACGTTTCTTCGATGTTATTATATTTTGATTATGCGTATGCAAGGTATATCACTATTAACGCAAATCAACCGAGATAGGAAGAAAGTAGACTCGATTCCATTTCAAGTGCGGCACCTTTTTGAAAGTCATTGTGACGAATGGAATTATAAAAATGTATACGTACGAGACAGTTTAATTACGTCACGTCTCATCGATGGACTTTCCTTCGATGCACGATACTAACGTCACTTTAAAACGATCGAGAGAGCTAGTCACGTAAGAAAATTCTTATGTTAGAAGAAAGATATATGTGCGTGTATTCGTGCGTATAAGTAAACTTTACATATGGATTAGAAAATCGGGGAAAGTTTAATTATTCTTCAAAGAGTCATCTTTGTTAAATCGTTTTTTTTTTTTTTTATTTAAAATTCGTAACTTTCACTTTCTTCGAATGTTGTTTTAAATATTAAACATATTTAACAGAAACTTTTCGTCGTGTTTTTTTTCTCTTCGTCATATCGAACAATTAATGATTTATTTTTTATTTTACTACAATAATTAAAAACGTACTTATTTTGATTTAATATAATGCTTGCTAATAATGACGACGTAAAATCACGCGACGAATTATTTGAATTTCAAACGAACGCATCGATAATGAGATACGCATTTGTAAAGTATTATTTATAAAAAGTCGCGTGATTAATCGTACGGTGTTTGTCGCGTTCCCACGAAATTTTCATCGAAATTGCCAATATCGAGTCAACGGAGTCAATTTATTTCCGATGGTATCTATGTATGTATGTTCGTTCGTTCGTTTTTCATTTTCAAATTGAAAAACCGCGATCATGTTAATCTCGTACACATTACCGAACACTTTCATTGAAGAGGAGGTCTTGCGTACTAATCAGTTCGTCAAACCATGCCATCGATCGAACAAAGTTTAACTATAAATAATTATTCGCACGATAATATTATCGCATATCGCACGATAAATATTTATAGAATGTTTTTTAAAACAATATTTTTGGTTATTTTTTTTTTTAATGGGAGAAAAATATTTTAAATAATATTTTAGTAAGAAAAGTTTGAAATAGATAATCTTTATCTATATATCTATCTATCTATATATTAAATCCCAATTCGAGTTTTTAAATAGATACATAATTATTATATTTATATATACAAAAAGTATTTCACAAAAGTTATTAGACATGTTCAAGATATAATAATTCTTTTATGTATTAAAAATTAACTGTTATTGTTCTTTTATAAACAATAAATATACTTCTTGGAATTGGGGCTACTATTTTGTATTATGTTGTTGTATTACCTGTCATAATACTTTAGTGATTATTGGGTCATCCTGTATATCAAGATATTATATATCTATGATAACAATTAAGTAGAATAACAGAGCTACGATTAAACTTTTTTTTATAAAATGATTCAAACTAGTTACTTCGTAGCAAATTCGATAAAAATGTACTCTATTATAATTTGACGTTGATTTATCGTGCAAAAAGTTCATAGAAGTTTACTTGGAACGTACTACTTCGTTTTTCTTCGAATTTCCGAATTTAAAGTAGTCCTTTTTAGTCGTTTCATCTCCTCGAGAAATAAGATAACAAAAAAAGAGAAAAAAAGGAATAAAAGATTCTTTTATCGATCTTCTTTTATCTACACTAACATAAAATTTGATTTCATGATGATAGATCAACAATATTATGTGACTCGTTCGATTCGAAAGGCCTTCTTTTATTGTCTTTCTCTGTCCTTTTTGAGGTCGCTTGAGTAACGCACTCCCTTGACCTGACTACGTGATAGGAGCATTGAAATAACCTGGAATCAATGATACACATATTTTTCGTTTTTCTTTTCTCTTTTTTTCTTTTTATTTTGTTTTATAATAGAAAAAGAGACAAATTCGTATCATTGATACTTTGTTTCTCGTGTATAAAAAAAAGGGGCCACGGAGATTCTGCGAATTCTCTAAGTTCCTTGTTAATTTTCCACGAATTTCGCGTGTCCGTCTCGTATCAAAGCGGGTGGTAATAAATTAAACATAAAAAGTGACAGGTAGAGAGAAAGAAAATTAGAATTCGACATTTAACAATAGGAATTGGTTAATTTGAAACGAGAGTACACACAATCATTTTGTTTTCTATACAAATATGTATATAATATTATTGTTTAAAAATTTATCGTCAATCGTTAATTTTATTATTGTTATTGCTGCTGTTTTCAACATCATTGCAAATATTATTTAGAAGAAAAAAAAATATCGATACAAAATTGTTTTATATTATAATTTATCAATTTCTTCCTATTTCGAGTTTTCATCTTTCATTTTTCAATATTAGTTTATATTAATTTTATTTTCTTTACGATACTTGACGAAGTTATCTTCGAAGAGTATCCTCTTTTTCTTTTCGTTCTTATAAAACACGAAACTTCGATAAAATATATCTCAGCAAAGAAGATAGCATGAAATACATAAACCTCTTGATACAATTTCAATGTAGACAATTGTATTTGAAAATATATAAAGGAACATATATTATAATTTTCCCGTCTTTCTTATAGGAAAATTGTTTGTCTTATCTAATATACATTACAACTCGTATTTTCTCAACAAGTTTATTTGATAAATAACAATGATTTTTCTTTCTTCTCGGTATTAAATCTATTTTATGATATAAAAGAAAAAATAATAAACAAAATCTCTTTCGATAAAATTTATACATTTATTAACTATTATCATCTTTTTTCTTTGTATTATTTAATCTTTAAAATATGAACGACCGATATAAAAAAAAAAGTATTTTCCATTTTGGTACGATTGAAAATAACGATAATGAAGATTACAGATTATTAAAAGATTCTTTTTCCATTAACATTCGCAGAAATTTGTCTATCGAGATGAAATCAATAAATGCGTCAATGTAAAACCTACACAACTATTGGAAGCTCAATATTTGAGGGATACAGCATGAAAGCTCTTCATCTCTGTGTTTTTATCTCTTATTCATATATATAGATATAAATGAGTATAGAATACATTCTTCTATTATAACACGCGATTACATCGTAAACTCGGGGGAGTTACGTCATTGGGTAATGGCAACTCTACAGAAAATTGGAAACATTAACACGAAGAGTGTCAGCTGTTGCGTAGGTAGTACAATCAAATTTGAAAAGAAAGGTATTCGAAAAATATCGAACAATAGTACAATTGGGCACGTTTTTGAAAATAAATGTTGAAATAACAAAAGGTTAAGTTGGATACATACGCTGATGGTATTACACGAGTATGTATTCTGATTTTCTTGGGGGTGGGCGTGGGCGTGAGAGAGGTTTTTTTATCGAACCGAATGGAATTTATAATGTAAAGAAAAT